CACAGGGGTGATTTGGTGATGGGAAACCCGTGGGGATTACAATTGAGATGAAAAAAAAATGTGCAAAATGATGTAAAAATAAACTTTTTAATAAAAAAAAATGGGTTTAGGTTGTTATTATTGAGACTACAAGATGGCTACAAGACAGTACCTCAGGGGAGAGAAAGGTGTTTGAAGGGAGAAGAGGCTTTATGTGCTTATTCTAAATTACCTGCTTATTTGACAATACATCAACCTATTCAGGTCACTAGTGCAGTTAAAAACTGAAAGTCACAAACTCCAAAATCAGTTGGATTGGAGTGAAGTTGCAGACTGTTTTAATAACCTGATTAATTATACAAAAGGGAACTTGACTGAAGCTAGTGTCAGCAGGTAGACAAAGGAGGATGAGTATAAAATGCAGGTGCTCTAGCATTTGGGACATTAAAAAATGCACAATTCTTAAAAGGAAGGAAGATTTAATATGAGTGACTAGAATAGTTATGGCTTTAGCGGAAATAGAAAATAAGAGAACCTACTGATTTGTGAGAAGATAGTTTTTTATTGTGGAGTCATTGAATTTAAGATATGCTATGTAGGTAGATATAGTGCAAGTTCCCTAGAAATACATAATATTTAAAGTACACAGATCAAAACTACCATGGAGTGATGTGACTAAATCCTTAAGATAGTAAGTGTAAAGCAATTGTTAGTGAACACTGATTATAGTTTTTTGTTATGATCATTATCTAATGTTCCATTTGTTGCAATATATTTGTACAGATTTAACCCTGCAGTAGTTATTTATATATATCTGGGTATTAAAATGGAAGAGGCTATAACATTACAGATGTAACTCATTCACATTATTTTCAACAGATAAATTCCTATATAATAATACCTGCCTTCCACTTGGTACATTTCACACTTAAACCTCTGTCTCTAACTCAAATGTCTCAAGAAGATTGAAATTTGCAAATAAAGAAACAGATAATAAACAAATAAAATTACTGTAAGTAAAAAAATTAAATGGCTTAAGTCCTGTGCAAAACATCTTTGTCTTACTCTATTCCATTAAAATATTCTGGCTTGGGTTCCTACCAAGATGGTAAAGTCCATAAATTTAGCATCTTAAGCCATTCAGATAGCTAAACTTTTGTAATTAGAGGGTGCAGAATGAAACAGAGGTTTTATTTGTTCAAGTTTAGTAATGCATGAAGATAATTTAACAAAATATTCAAAAATAGCATACATGGACACCTGCATAAATAATATTAAAATCCATTGATTATTTAACTTGACCATACAAATTCTCAGTTGCAATAAAACTCTAAATAACATAAATATACTTATTTGGTCTTGTGTTTATGAAATATGAATTACTGATAGCTCTAATTTTAGCTATGGCAGAAATAAAAAGGTGCATTGGCTGTGATATTACTAGGAAATGGGAATCTTGTAGATCAGAAGGTGCCTAGATTCAGATTGGAACAAGATGAAAATATGTAAATTTATGTAGTCTAGACTTTTAGTAAAATACATGTAGTAGTGAGGCCTCACATAAAGATATTTTTTACTTAGTCTCAAAATGTTTGTAACAAATTCGAGAAATATTGAAATCAGAAAAAAGATCTTAGCTTTACCTAAAAATAGGTAAACATTATAATAAAACAAGGAATTGAGCATCCTTAAATGATTATGGATTTTTTTCCAACTCATTGCTTGTAGTAATAGTGTACTTTCCTCTTGGTTTCTTAATAAATGATGTGAAATCACACATATTCTTTATCCCAATCTTAAATTTTTATGATTCTTTTTAAGGCACAATGATGTTGTATACTCTTACAGCAAAATGAAAATATATTTAAGCTTTACATGAATTAAATAGAATTTCTTTTATCAGAAATATTTATTCAATATATCTATCCTTTACTTTTTCATCAGAATCTAGATTCCAAAATGAATTTATGTAAAACCAGATTTACCTTTGTTTCAAAAATCCCTACTGTGTTTTATTGCCTGACATCCTCCCTATAGGGGCACACTTCAAAATGAGCTGATTTTACAAATTTGTAATTTTTTGAACTTTATTTCTCCATAGAGTTCACAGATTTATAACTGATATATTTCTACTTACAAAGTTTAAATAATATGTAATATAATTCTGCTTACTCTGTGATAATACCATCTAAAATACAAGAATATGATGGCTTTTTCTGAAAATTACAAGGATGGAAATTTGAAATACGACATACATTAGAATGGTGATCACAACAGGTTTCAGCGTGCACATAATCACCAGAGCTATCAAAAGTATTAGCGATTTATGCTAACAAAGTGAATGGATTGGATTTATATTATGCATATCTTATCTGTCATTTATCCCTAAAGCAACATGTTCGCTATACATATATACATCATTACTAGAGTACAGGGTCATGCTGCCATTCAAAATTAAGGTGCCACAGTTTTATTACAATAGAACGGCATCCAAGATGCAATAAAGACTGAAAGTGCAAAAATTTTCACAGATTGCATTTATGAGTGAGGGTGGTCACAAGGAAATGCAGTTTTATTTTATACAAGTGGAAAAGATTTATCATAAATATATAGACCAGTATATAACATTGAAGAACAAGAAGCAAAAAGGAAACAAGGCCCTTGCATAGAGGTCAATTCGCTTTGCTGCAGTTGGAATAACGGGTTTGGCAGGGGGTGGCTTCTTGTTGTTCTTTGCCTGGGATTTCCCAAGTCCATTGTTGACTTCAATAGGTTTTCCATAGCAATCATAATTTGATAATTCAAAATCTCTTGGTAAACTTCCAACAATGCTGAAGTCATTAGATCTCAGATCAGACTTAGAAGTACAAACCTTTTTGCATCTGGTCTCACCAACCTGAGAATAAAAATTAAAGGCACAGTGTATTTAGAATTTTCCGGATTATAAAATACATCTCTGCATAAGATTGTTTTTACCTGAGATTTAATCTGATCAGTTATTATCGATGATAATTAAACCTTAAGATTCCTTGAACATTAGACTCTAAGATGTTGCTTATATTTATACATATATATTTACAGAATAAACTTTTGATAGGTTATTTCATGGTAAGGAGTCAAATGAAAACTTACGTTTGCTAGTTCTCAGTGCAAAGACCAATAAATAAAAATTCAATATTTAGCCATGGAAGAGACCATATAACTACAATGTATGGAGTATGAAAATCTGGTATTTCTAACCTTCTATTACCCATGGGATCCTATTTTTTTAATAGGGTGATTTATAAATGGCTGAGGGATCTCTCATTTCAAAGAAATAGACTATTTCTCTAAACCACACTCACAAGAAAGAACTAAAAGGTGGTTACAAAAATCATAAATCATAAACCAAAGATTTACTAGTGAAAGACAATCCTAATTTGTTGGCTAGAATTGAATTAGCCAACATACACAGAGAATCTAAGGAAATTGTGTGCATTCAATCAGATCAAATGCTACAGATTTTTATTCAGTTGATAATAACTGAATTATTAAATTCAAATTAAATCCCTATAATAAGAAAATAGGTATTTCACACTGAACTGTCTAGCAATCAGAAATAATATTAGAAAGAATAGAAGTATAGACTAATCCTAATGACTTACAATAGCACGTGATGTTCATGGTCAAAGAAGTGTGAGTTCTTTACTCTGCTGTATAATCTTCCTCTGTTGTCACTCCTGAGTTCTCTGATTCAACTTACTATAAACACAGTTATTAAGTTTTTTGATAAAATAGAACACTCTATCAATGTATGGTGTTAGCATAACTGTAGTTATTCTTGTTTTTGACTTATCAATATTAGACATTGACTATGCAGATTTCATTTACATTTAGTAGGTTTTAGCTGGGTAAAATTTATGCTTAATGTAAACAATAAAACAAAATATTCTCCCAAAGCAGGATACTCTCCTCTATTTGAACAAATACATCAACATATTTCCTGACAGCTGAGGTCAAAGGACCTCAGCAAAGATAACCAAGATGCAATAAGTGAGTGGGGGGGGGGGGAAAGGAATTTTTAAAAGTAGATGTGTTACTTTTAAGCTGATGTTCAACTGTTTACAGTATCATATACTTTCTATCACTTAGAT